GAGCCACAAGGCCATAAGCCTGACCTTGATACCAAGGGAGATCAAGATACAGATCATACTGAGCGTGACCCACCAAGGGGTCAGGCGCAGCCAGCACATCTTCATGAGAGGAAGGTCCTGCTTAACAAACCTGATCCTACAAATTTCTGACTGTCTAAGTATAACAGCAGTACTGACCATTTTCCCTTCATCTAGGGCTACTGCTTATTGTATTCAGGGAGGCTGATTGACATGTAATTATGTTGCCATGTCTGGCTATCTGATTTTCTATTTTGGCCTTTGCTTAGGTACATCATTGATAGCTCTCTGTTGCAAATAACAGAGCCTGTAGGTACTTTTTCTGGACAGCCTCAGTGAGATGCCATCATATCTGTGGCTGCTTTGTGTACAGTGATCTGGGAATCAGCAGCTATCAAAACTGCCATGTCATTTCTTTCCACAATCTTTTTTGGTTTTGGTTTTTTGGTTGGTTGGTTTGGGTTTTTGTTTTTTGTTTTTTTTTTTTTTTTTTGTGGAGAAAGTTGCTAATCTCATTCTCCTACTCTTTGCTCTGGCTTGCTTTCAATGCATCTTATCCCACAGGGTGTCTATCCAGCACTTCATTACAGCTATACAAGAGGGTGTGTACACTTTCTTTTATGTCAGGAAAAAACATAGTTCTAAACCCACTTTGAGTGAATTGGATATTGCAGGGTTCATTCTGAAAAGGTGAAGTCATGATAAATACAGAAGATGCAGTTAAGAGACAGATGCCTTAAATGTCCTCTGCCTTCAGCTGCAGTATTTTATTGGTCTAATATACTACATTTACAATACTTGCTCTCCTCTTACCTCAAACATTCACACATGCTTGGTCTGCTGTCCTCTCTGGGTTCAGGAGAAGGAGCTCTAAAGCTCTTGGTAAAATGCTAAAAACTAATTGCCCTAAATACTAGGGGAATTTGCTGGTGGATGCATCCCTGTTGGGCATCACTCTGTGTTTCTATATCTAGCAGCCTGATTAGTTAGTTACTGAATTGTTGCTGTTATTGTTAAATCTCACCTCTTCTACTCTCATTGGTAATGTAAATATGGAGAAAACTGAGATCTTCAGGTGTTTTCTGGTGGGTCCCTAAAATACCTCTATCAGGCTGCTTGTGATGATATTTATTGTTCCAGACCCTTAGCAGCTACCTAGGTATGCAAAGGTTTGCTGGACCTTTTCCCCTCCTCTCTGTTTTCTGCTACTGAATTTGTAGTAAATTTACAAACACCCTCTCAGGTGTTTTGCAGTTCCTATTTATGTCCACACATTTGCTTGAAAGTCACTAAACTCAAGGCTATTTGGTTAGTTCCCCTGAAGACAACAGAGGCTGGCACAAACACTTTTTCCAAGGCTAACCTGTGTTGCTGTGTTTGTGCTGGATGTGCATTTAAACATCACTTTCATAGTTTAATGCCATAAAGTAGTTGAAGTCTTGATAAAAATACACAACAACAAGCCGTAATAAAACAAAGAAGGAAATGAAGCTATACCACAGTGTACTTTCCATGAAGACTGGATGCTTATGACTGGATGCTGATCTCTACCAGATCCTCCAGCCAACCCCAGGCTAGACTCCTTCAGTGCTGTGTCCCTTGCTGCAAGAGCTGCCACTCTGCTTTGCTACCCCAGCAGTACTTTCCCTAAACCCAGAAGGATATTTTTAGTGCCCAGAACTGTAGGAATGAGAGTTGACTTGGCCACAAGAGGGCCCAGCTATTGCGTGAAACTGTTGGGATCAACCAAAGCATCTTGCCCAACATGCAAAACCATCTCTAACCAGTTTCTCTGCATGTTCCGAGGTACAACAAAGAATTACACTGCAAGTCCATTTTAGTTAGTAATATATCATGTATCTGTAGATACACATATATTTGCTAATAGTCAGATCATCCCTTTGCACCCTCTTTCCTGTAATTTTCTGTTAATTTGCAGGCCTATTCAGCTTCATAGGCTAAATCTCCTAATTACCTGGGTATAAGCCATATCATTTAAATCCTAGAAGGGAAACAATAGCGAAGTCCTTATTGAGATCCTCCATTTATATCCTGGTTTTGAAACAATACTTGCACTTCTGTCATATGGACAACTGTAGTTTTCCTGTAATCATCTGATCACCTCTAGATAAAACACTTAGTTTTACTTGGTATAGTAAGATTTAGGCCTGGAGGTTTTGTGAACTTCTGCAGAACTTGTACTCTGAGAATTACACAATACTAATGTAATTATGTAAATACAATCCTAATTGCTTTCAGTGCAAAGTGAGAACATTTTGTTCTCTGACATCACAAATGCACGCCCTTAAAGAATTTTCAGAGTTCATTTCTTCCATTTGTTATCACTATTTCAACTATCATGTAGGTCATATGATGTTTTATAAGAATATCACTCAGTAATGAAATTTTTTTCTTATTAGAAATGATTTGCCAGGTTTCAGGGACTTCTGAATATCTACTGTTACAATTTGAAAAGCTAAGGATTGCAGGAATGCAGGATGCTTTTTTGGCTTCATGTAAGTTGGCTTCATGCACAATTCATGATGTACCATCAGTCAGTCATTCAATTATCATCTCGTTTGGGTTGTTTCCCTTTTTTGCTGTCTGTGATTTTGCTACCAAGGAAATATCAGTGAAGCACTGTTAGTCATGTAGGGCAGGAAATCACATTCCTCAGGGCAGGATGGGCTAAAAGTAGGCATGAGCATGTGCAGATCCATCAGCAGCAGACTGGTGGCAGTCTTTATATGGTAAAGTTACAAGATAATCTGTGGTGGCAGCCCTGTGTCTGTTTCCTTTGTTTTATCCCTTTTGTGCTTGGAACAAGGGAACCTTGATGATATTTTTATATCAGGGCTTACATTGTGCAGTGAGGTGTCTCTTGGCACTTTGCAATTTTTGTTTGGACACATTTTTTGTTTGCATATTCAAACCCTGTATTAGTTAACTTAGCTTTTAAATTTAATAAGCAAGACTATGAAAATTATAGGCAGCATTTTGATGGAAAGCACCTGGGCAGAAAATGGCCTTGTTTTTCCCTGGACCACAAAGCTGACCAGGAGCCAGCAGATGCCCTCACGGCCTATGGAGCATGGCCTGCAAGATCATGGGGGGTGATCTTTGCCCACCACTCAGCACTGGTGAGACACACCTGGAGGGCTGGTTCTGGAATCCCAGGATGAGGGAGGTGTGTCCATACTGGGGCAAGTCCGGCAAAGGGTCACTAAGGTGAGAAGGGGACTGGAGCACACGGTGCATGAGGAGAGGCTGGGAGAGCTCAGCTGACCTTTCTTGACTAGAGCAGTCTGGGCTGTCTGGTCAGGGTGTACAAACACCTGGCTGAAGGTGGGTGGGTGGAGGACACAAGTGAGACTCTCCTCTGTTCGATGCAGAGATGGCAGGAGCCACAATGGGCACTCCTTGAAGTGTGGCAAGTTTGAATGAAAGGAAGGGTGGTGAAACACTGGATCAGGTTGCCCAGAGTGGTTGTGGAGTCCCTGTGCTGGGACAAGAGTTGTCATGAGTCCATCCATGGTGCTGCTCTGCATGGAAGGATTTGGGGAGAGGAGAGGGGTCTGGGACACTACGGAGCAACATTTGTTTCAGGCAGCTGAAGAGGAACTGCAGTAGACCCTAAATTTAGCAGCTGTACTGATAAAGGAGGGATTTTATGAATGTGCCAGCATGTCTCATGCAAGGAAAGGCCAGCCACCCCTGCTCACAGGGGCAAAGGGGAACTGTCATAGAATGAGGGACACCTGAATGTGGCAAAGTCCTTCAGTGAGGTCCCTGGCATATGAGGGAGTATTCCCTAATGAACAAGTAAAGCATTTGGTCAAAAGAGCATGTGTCCAAGGGGTCATTCTGTACTTAGGGCTTGGGGTGGGAGCAGGCAGCTCTATGGAAGGCTCAGCTCAGTTATCATGGCAGTCCCAGCATCAGCGTGAGGGCTGGGAATTCTTAGCAAAGGAGGAGAAAACAAATTGAGCCATTTTCCCACCAGTCTAAAGCTCAGTCTAGCAACAGTGGGGTTTCAATTTCCTCCTTTTTTTTTTTTTTTTTTAATTAGCTTTGAACTAACTGGTTTGTTCACGGTACATCTGTGTGACCTTTGTATCAGCTACTCATTACGGATAAATGACATCACATCCTGCCCTTTTTTTCCTCATTGTGCTCACTGTTCCTTTTCATAAAAAGCAAGTGACAGACCATAGAGTTGTAGTCATCCTCACAGACTTTAATTTCTGAAACATCCTTTCAGCTAAGCAGGGAATTCTGTGGTGTCTTGAAAGCAGGGACAGGTGAGTTTTGTGCTTTCTCTACTGCATCATCTCTGTCCCACCATGTCTGTGCTTCTTTCTCCGCTACAGTTCAAAAAATGATTTACAGGGTTAACCCAGCTGTGGTGTGTGGAGTGTGGGGAATGTAAAGGGGACTGTAAAAGGCAGGGTGGGGTGGCTTTTGCTGCATGTAGCACTAGCAGCACATGCTGGCATTTCTGTGCGGGAGGAGAAAACTTTCTGGGGATCCAGAGCTGATCATTTGTTTATTGGCTGCCTCTCCTCTGTCCCCCAAGTCCCAGTGCCTTCCATTACGATACCTCCCAGTGCCTCTAAGAAGCCATTTAATGGGCCCATGAGAAGTTCCATATGTGATCCAGGTACAGCGATCAAGGGAGAAATGGCAAATGTGATTGTGCCAGCTGAGTTCTCTGTCCTGTTTGCTTGTTTGGGTTCCTCCTGCCAGAGTTTTTTGCATATGTTTCGTGTTCAGAATGACTGGAAATTCTAGAGGATGACAGATGAGTTCTCTAATGGTGTTCCCAGAGTTTGTTGTGCATCACTACGAAGGTGGGACACAGACCTATGAAGGAAGGCTCATATTCTGCTGCCTCATCTGTCAGGTTTTTTCTTTCCTTCCCTTCAGGCTGGCTCAGAGAGAGCAAGCTCTGGCTGGAGAGAGAATGCTTAGGATGCTGGCATTTCTGAGTTTGTGAATCACTACCAGACAGTGCCAAAGGGCTCAGATTGCTGGCGCTCAGAACAGAATTCCCTGGCTGGCAAAGATCCTTACACATGGGGAAACACATGAAGAGTATATGAAATTTGCTTTAAGAAGCAGAAAGCAGTTTATATCCCAGTGTAGCTCAGTGTGAAGTTGTTCTAAACTTCTGCAGTAAGAAAAGTTCAAATGATGCTTCCTACTGTTTCTAGATCCACAGCAGTGGCATGACTTGTCTCAGACTCCTCAGGAAAACAAATAGACAAAAGCAGATCTTTGAGGAGCAGAAGTTATGAATATCCTTGTTCTGCTGAAGTAGTTCTTGTAGGATACCAACATCTAAGCAGCCATTGTCACACTCTGAAGGGGCTCAGCATTTCCTGCTTCTGCAGTGCTGTGGGGAGGATTACATCCTTTTTAGTGGAATACTGAGCCCACTGTGGAAATCCAGAAGACAACATGTCCACAGCAACAGAAGGACCAGGTGCAGGACTCAGAGCAGTGTCCCCGGGGGCAAAAATAAAAAATCAGAAGCACATGAATTTTGGAAAAGATCTCCAAGATCAGGGAGTCCAACCTTCAATTCAGTATCACCATACCCACAAGCCTTTATCCCAAAGTGCCGTGTATACTCATTTTTTGGAGCTCTTCCAGGCATAGTGACTCCACCGCTTCCCTGGGGAGCCTGTGGCACACAGTGCTTAAGCACTCTGAAATTCTTCCTCATATCCAGCTGAACCTACCATGGTGCAGGGAGTTCTGCATCCAGCTCTGGGATCCCAGCACAGTAAGGACAGGGAGCCTGCTGGAGCCAGGCCAGAGCAGGGACACCAAGGGGATCAGAGGGATGGAGCAGCTCTGCTGGGAGAAAAGGCTGAGGGAAGTGGGAGTGTTCAGCCTGGAGAAGAGAAGGCTTTGGGGTGACCTCCTTGTGGCCTTCCAGTGCCTGAAGGGAGCTTAAAGGAAAGATGCAGAGACTCTTGACAAGGGCCTGGAGTGGCAGGACTAGAGGGAATGGCTTCACACTGACAGAGAGCAGGTTTAGGTTAGATATGAGGGAGAAATTCTTCCCTGTGAGGGTGGTGAGGCCTGGACACAGGTTGCCCATAGCAGCTGTGGCTGTCCCTGGATCCCTGAAGTGTCCAAGACCAGGTTGGATGGGGATCAGAGCCACCTGGAATAGTGGAAGGCGTCCTTCACCACGGCAGGAGGGGTGGAACAAGATGATCTTTAGCATCCCTTCCAGCTCAGACCATTCTATTGATTTCCCCTCATCCTGTCCCTTGGATCCCTGGGAGCAGAGCCTGACCCCCACCTGGCTGCACCTTCCTGTCTGGGAAGTGTGGAGAGCAATAGGGCTCCCCTGAGCCTCCTTTTCCTCCAGGTTAAACACCCCCAGCTCCCTCAGCTGCTTCTTATCAGACTTGTGCTCCAACCTCTTGCCCAGCTCTGTTCCCTCCCCTGGACACACTCCAGCCCCTCAATGTACATCTTGCAGTGCCAAGACCAGAACAGGACATAGCACTTGGGGTGAGACCTCTCCACTGCCCACGACAGAGGGACAGTCACTGCCTTGGTCCTGCTGGCCTCACCATTGCTGACCCAGCCCAGCAGCCATTGGCCTTCTTGCCCCCCTGGGCATGCACTGTGGAGTAGCAGGCCCAGACCCTTTCCTGCTGTGCTCTTCCCAGCCACTCTTCCCCAGCCTGGAGCTGCTGGGGGTTGTGACCCAGGGGCAGTACCCAGCACTTAGTATCTTGTTCAACCTCAAGGATATGAAATGGGACTGGCTCTGACACTGGGCCCTGGGGCACAGCACCAGTGACCCGCTGCCAGCTGGATTAATTCCACCACCGCTCTCTGGGCCCAGCCATCCAGGCAGTTTATTCCCAGCAAACAGGGAACCTGTTAAATCTGTGGGCTGCAAGGACAATGCTCTCCAGGACAGCGCTGTGGGAGCAGTGATCAAAGGCTTTACTGAAGGCCCAGGTACACAACATCCATAGCCTTTCCCCATCCATTGGGTATTGATAGAAAGAGGTTGGGTCAGTCTAGCAGGACCTGCTTGAACTTGTGTGCTGGCTAGGCCTGACGCCCCAGTGGTGCAGCACACATCATGTCATTGCACTCCGGGTAATCTGTTCCATACCCTTACCTGCCACTGAGGTTAGGCTGATGGGCCTCTGGTTCCCCCAGTTGTCCTTCCAAGCCTTCTCATAGAGGGGCGTCACACTGGCCAACCTCCAGTCACCCAGGAGCTCTCGTTCACCAGGACTGCTGACAAATGACGGAGAGTGGAGCTTTGTGGGCTGCTTCACCAGCTCCCAGCAGAAGGATGGCATCTCCCTAGACTTGTGCATGTCTGGGCAGCACAGCAGCTCGCTAACAACTTCCTCCTGCAGTGTGGGGACTTTGTTCTGCTCCCTGTTTCTGTCTTGTAGCTCAGGGGGCTGGATATGCAGAGGGTAACTGGGCTTTTGGTTAAAGGCTGAGGTCAAGAAGGCATTGTGTACTTCAGCCTTTTTCCTCATCCCTGGAAGTCATTCCACTCCAGCATGCAATAAAGGATGGAGAATCTCCTTGGCCTCTTTTTGTTATTAATGCATTTGAAAAAGCACTTTTTCTTAACTTTTATGCTGGTGGCCAGATTGACTTTTACCTTTCTAGTTTTCTCTCTGATTAACATCATGACATCCTTGTAGTCTTCCTGAGTTGCCTGACCCTTTTTCCAGAGCTGCTCTGTTCTTCCCCAAGTCCCAGTGGAAGCTTGCCATTTTCCAGGCCAGCCTTCCCTGAACCAGCTTATGGCACATTGCAATGGGCTCCTCCTCCACCTCTATGACCTCCTTCCTGAGGAACGTCCACCTTCCTGGGCTCCTTGGCCCCTCAGGACTGCCTCCCAAGGGATTCTCTCAACCTGTGGTCTTAACAGACCAAAGCCTGATCTCCACAAATCCAAAGTAGTTGTTTTGCTGACCCCCTTCCTCCTTCTTCCCTCCCTTCACTGAGAACTGAAATCAAATCATGTCACCGTCACTGTACCCAAGATGGCCTCAGGCAACCTCATCTCCCACCGATGCTCCCCTGTTTGTAAACAGCAGATCCCCTGGGACACCGCCTCTGGTGGGCTTGCCTGCCAGCTGTGTCAGCAAGTTCTCTTCCACATGCTCCAGGAACCTCCTGGAGTGTCTCCTGTCTGCTGGGTGGGATTCCAGCAGACACCTGGTAAGTTGAAGTTGTCACTGAGGTTGTAGGCAGTAGATGATGTGGGGTCATCCATCTACCCCTAATGCAAATCCTTGCCCACCACTCAGCACTGGTGAGACACACCTGGAGGGCTGGTTCTGGAATCCCAGGATGAGGGAGGTATGTCAATACTGGGGCAAGTCCGGCAAAGGGTCACTAAGGTGAGAAGGGGACTGGAGCACACGGTGCATGAGGAGAGGCTGGGAGAGCTCAGCTGACCTTTCTTGACTAGAGCAGTCTGGGCTGTCTGGTCAGGGTGTACAAACACCTGGCTGAAGGTGGGTGGGTGGAGGACACAAGTGAGACTCTCCTCTGTTCGATGCAGAGATGGCAGGAGCCACAATGGGCACTCCTTGAAGTGTGGCAAGTTTGAATGAAAGGAAGGGTGGTGAAACACTGGATCAGGTTGCCCAGAGTGGTTGTGGAGTCCCTGTGCTGGGACAAGAGTTGTCATGAGTCCATCCATGGTGCTGCTCTGCATGGAAGGATTTGGGGAGAGGAGAGGGGTCTGGGACACTACGGAGCAACATTTGTTTCAGGCAGCTGAAGAGGAACTGCAGTAGACCCTAAATTTAGCAGCTGTACTGATAAAGGAGGGATTTTATGAATGTGCCAGCATGTCTCATGCAAGGAAAGGCCAGCCACCCCTGCTCACAGGGGCAAAGGGGAACTGTCATAGAATGAGGGACACCTGAATGTGGCAAAGTCCTTCAGTGAGGTCCCTGGCATATGAGGGAGTATTCCCTAATGAACAAGTAAAGCATTTGGTCAAAAGAGCATGTGTCCAAGGGGTCATTCTGTACTTAGGGCTTGGGGTGGGAGCAGGCAGCTCTATGGAAGGCTCAGCTCAGTTATCATGGCAGTCCCAGCAGCGGTGTGATGGTTTAAAATTTTAGCAAAGCAGGAGAAAACAAAACCAAAAGTTTTCCTGGCACAGACTCAAGTTTAAAGTGTAGTGACTATGAGGTCTGAATTTCTTCCCTTTTTTTCATAATTACTTTATAATTGCATATGTTGTTTGCTGCACTATGTATGTCCTTTTTATGAGCTGCTCACTGGATAAATGAGTGATGTCACTTCCTTCATCTATCGTGTTTTTCTATGTACTCAGATTTTTACTCTTGTCATTTCTTCTCAGAAGGAGGAAGTGCCAGAACATAGAGTTGTAGGTGCTCTCACAGACACCAAACTCTTAAAACTCTTCTCCAGCTAAGCAGTGAATTCTGTGGTGTCTTGAAAGCAGGGACAGGTGAGTAGAGTTTGCAGTTTCTTTGCAATGGCCCTTGTGTTTTCAGCGGAAGAGATAGAGCCAGGCTTCCTGTATTTGTTTTGTAAAAGAATTGCATAGGCTATTGCGGTGTTTAAAGTGTTCTCCTGTCTGCTCCAAAAGCATAAATGTGTTTCTAACTTTATAGAGATGTGACATTCGGTTCTTTGCTGAAAAGTTCGGTCCCTTGCTGAAAATGGACCGACAAGCCCAGTCCTTGCTTCTGTTTAGATTAAAGTGGCACTTCCCTTCCTCTCTACTGCACAAGAACTTCCCCCCAAGCCTGTACCACTTTCTCTTCTTATGCTTGCAAAGCAAATACTTATTTACAGGGTTAACCCACCTGTGGTGTGTGGAGGGTGGGGAATGTAAAGGGGACTGTAAAAGGCAGGGTGGGGTGGCTCTGGCAGCACATGCTGGCATTTCTGTGTGGGAGGAGAAAACTTTCTGGGGATCCAGAGCTGATCATTCGTGTATTGGCTGCCCCTCCTCTGTCCCCCAGTCCCTGGTGGCTCCATGTTCTGACATTTGGATGCCTCCCAGTAGGGCTGACAAGTAGTTTTTGGCCACAGGGGAAGCTCCGTATGTGACCCAGGCACAGTGATCAGGGAGCAATGACAAATGGGACCGTGCCACCTGGGTGCTTTGTCGTTGTTCCCTGCCACTTTGGTTACAGCTGGTGGATTAAAGCTTTTCCTGTTTCCTGAACCTTTTTGTCCTGGAGGGTGGGGCTTTGGAGATGGAGCTCAGGGAGGCAGGAGAAATTATGGAATCCTTTAGGATGGAAAAGACCATTGAGATGCTTGAGTCCCACCCCAAAGTCCACTCTGCCAAGTCTATCACTAAACCAAGTCCCTAAATGCCACACCTATATGTCTGTTAAATACCTCCAGGGACAGTGTCTCCACCGCCTTCTTGGGCAGCCTGCGCCAATGCCTGGTAACTCTTCCAGGGAGTAAAATTCTGAGTAATGTCCACTCTAACCTCCCTTGGCACAACTTGAGACCATTTCCTCTGGTCCTAAAAGCCACAACCTTCCTCACTGCTCCTTCATGTGCTCTTGCCTGTTGACATTTGGGGCCCAGTGGTAGGCACAGGAGATGCTGCTTCTGCTGCCCCTCGATTTAAGGAGAGACAAGGGCAGCAATGCTGATGCTAATGCTGAGGATGGAGCTAGACTGACTTATCTGTTTATTGCTGCCTTGTTAATAACCTCTTCCACTCCATCCCTCCCTTTTGCCAGAAGAAGCAAGGAAGTAAGGGCAGGAGAGCGGAGGGATTGCCTGCTCACCAGCAGGATCCACTGGGAGAACTGAGCAGGTCAGAGCCAGAGTGGCCTGTGCAGGGTTGGGAAGCAGCCTTGGAACTCCCTTTACAATGGCATTTCTTGATCTTATTGTCTGCATCTGCCTCAAAAGCTGCCCTGCATCCATTCCTTTCCCACCCTCCATCCGTCCTGCCAGGCTACGCTGCGATGAACAATGGGCCAGGCTCTCTGCAGGAGCAGGTGATTGGTTTGGAAAGGCAGCAACTGCCAGCTCAACAACTGGAAGGCTGAGGCTTGTGTTTGGTTTGGGGGTAGGACATGTTGTATATCAGGAGAAAACAACTCCCCTCATGATAACCAGCTGTCAGTGGGCAGCAGCTCCACACAGTGTCTGTTGACAGGGCTCCAGGAATGGTCATAAGGACCATTCCTATTTCCTCCTGCCAGGGCTTTGCGTACGTGTCTCATTTCTCTTGTTGACAGTGACCTGAAGTTCTAGAGGGTGACAGATGAGTTCTCTAATGGTGTTCCCAGAGTTTGTTGTGCATCGCTATGAAGGTGAGACACACACCTATGAAGGAAGGCTCATATTCTGCTGCCTCATCTGTCAGGTTTTTTCTCTTTTTCCTTCCCTTCAGATCATGACAGCTGTCCCGGGAGAGCAAGCTCTGGCTGGAGAGAGAATGCTTAGGATGCCCAGCTGCCTCCTAAAAGTGACCAGGGTGGTGCTGAGCCACAGACTCTGTGCCCTGTTTATCCTCATCTTTGTGTTCGTATCCTTTGCCTACCACAAGTTGTACTGGGGCATCTGGGAGGACCCAAAGAGCAGCGGCCCCACCTACAGCGTGTCTGCTGAGATGAGCTGTGCTCACTATGTGCCTTCTGCCCTTGACATTGCTGGTGGACCCTCTCCTTCCACAGGAAAGGTGTTTTTTGTGGAGACCTCAGAGCAAACTGCCCCAAGTTACCTGTTCTCGTGCTCTGTGGAGTCAGCGGCCAGGACACACCCCACATCAAGGGTCATGGTGCTCATGAAAGGCGTGGCCAAAGGGAATGCCTCCTTGCCCAAGCACTGGGCTTTCTCCTTGCTGAGTTGCTTCCCCAACGTGGAAATCCAGCCCCTGGACCTGACAGAGCTCTTTTCTGGAACACCTCTGAAAAGGTGGTACTTATGGCCACTGCGGCACTGGGAGCCTCATTTTTTACCGGTCCTGTCTGACGCCTGCAGAATTGTCCTCATGTGGAAATTCGGTGGCATCTACCTGGATACAGACTTCATTGTGCTTAAGAACTTGCAGAACCTCACCAATGCCCTCGGCATTCAGGGTGACGAGGTACTGAATGGAGCCTTTCTATCCTTTAAGGCCAAGCACAAGTTCATGGAGCTTTGCATGAGGGACTTTGTGGAGGACTACAATGGCTGGGTCTGGGGGCACCAGGGCCCAGAGCTCCTAACTCGTGTCTTCAAGAAGTGGTGCTCCATCCAGACTATCAAGAGCATGAGCTGCAGAGGTGTGAGTGCTCTTGCCCGAGAAGTTGTTTATCCTATTCCCTGGCAGGACTGGAAGAAGTTGTTTGAGGCAGTCAGTGCCTTGGAGTTTCAGAAACTCCTTAAGAACACCTATGCAGTGCACATATGGAACAAACTGAGCCACGGGACCAAGTTAGAGATCCCCTCCCAGGCTCTGCTGGCTCAGCTCTATTCCCAGTTCTGCCCTGCCACCTATGCAAAGATGAAACAGGACTCTGAAGAGTTGTCAAGGCATGCAGTATGACCTGGGGGCCCTTGGCTGCAAGGGATGTTCCCCAGGCTGAAGGAAACCAAGTGCCTTTGACCTTCCCCAGAGTTGGTTTCTAGACCCCAGAGCAGGTGTTCTGTGTGACAGCTCTGTGGTTTTGTACCTGATATTCCTGATATCTGCCTCAGATCCCTTGTGTTTCAAATTTACAGCAGTACCTGACTCCAGCCTCTCTTGCTGTCCTCCACAAGACCTGTCACTGCAGGGAAGATTGAACCCATTCATCAGCATCCTTGAGTTGGTCCTCTCTTGGTGTTCTCCAATGGCTCTTCCTGTGAAGCCCAGCCTGAGCAGCCCCTTGTGATGTTTCAACAGCTGTAGGAGCCCCTGCTTTGCTCTCTGCGGCATTTGAAATTTTCAGAGAATATTCTGTGTTGGAAGGGACCCACAGCCATCTTGTGTCCAACCCCTCGCTCTGCCTGGGTACAGCACACTCCCTCAATCCTGCCCTGTGCATGAGAATGTCATACTTGGGGCTGTGAGCCTTCCCTGAGGAGCCTGTTCAGTGCCCCATGACCCTCTGGGGGAAGAACCTTTCCCTGATATCCACCTTAACCATCCCCTGACGCAGCTCCAGCCATTCCCTTGGGTCCTGTTCTTGGTCACATAGAGCAGAGATCACGGCCTGCCCCTCCTCTTCCCCTCGTGAGGAAGCTGCAGAACTGCTGTGAGCTCTGACCTCAGTCTGCTCTTCTCCAGCTGTACACACCAAGTGCCCTCAGCTGCTCCTTGTGTGGCTTCCCCTCCAGGTCCTTCACCATCTTCAAAACCCTACTTTGGAAACTCTCAAACAGCTTTAGATCTTTCTTATGTGGCACCCAAACCCACACACAATATTCAAGGTTAGGCTGCCCCAGCCCAGAGCAGAGTGGGACAATCCCCTCCCTGGCCTGGCCGGTGATGCTGGGTCTGGTGCCCCAGGACAGGGCTGTCCCTTCTGGCTCCAGGGCACTGCTGGCCCATGTCCAACTGGCCATTAACCCCCAGTTCCCTTTCCACAACACTGCTCTCCAGTCTCTCATTCCCAGTCTGTCTGTACATCCAGGGCTGTCCCATCCCAGGTGCAGAATCCAGCCCTTGCCTTTGTTAACTTCACATCATTGGTGATTGCCCAGCCCTGTCATTTGTCCACGGCTCTCTGGAGGGCCTCTTCACCCTTGAGGGAGTCAACAGCTCCTCCCAGTTTTTATCATCTGCAAGCTTACTTGGTATCCCTTGCTGTCCTGCATTCAAGCTTTTTATGAGGATTTTTAAGACAATGGGGCCTAAGACGGTGCCCTGTGGAACCCCACAAGTGACAGGCTGCCAGTCTGCTGTCACCCAGGCACTGTCATTCTTTGTGCTTGACCTGTGAGCAAGTTGCTCAGCCATCACACAATGTGCTTATCCAGCTGTGGGCTGCACACTGAGATTATATCCAAAGCTTTACTGAAATCCAAAATGATTACATCTACTGATGCTTTTTTATTAACTGGGTGGGTGTGGCAGTGGGAGTTTAAAGATATTTGGTCTCTCCCTGCCTATAGCAGTGGGGGTTTGGAGAATATGTTTAGTCTCTGTATAAAGTTGTTTACCCCCGTCTCACCATGGCAGTTATGATAATTCCAGATTTTCCTGTCTATCCTCAAAAATCCTACCCCTGTGGATTGTCTGTCATGATTTGTTACACCCCTTTATCCAGAGAATTTGCTGTCAGTTATGATTTTTCCTTTCTGCCATTGGTATGTGACTTTCCCACTCCAAGTTATGTTTACATCTGTTACCCCAGACCCCTCCTAACTAACCAGATGGTCTCCTCCTGGGATTCCACCTGCCCCCATAAAAACCGCTGTTTTTCTGTGTTTTGCTTTCTTTTGCCAATGTCCCCCTTCGAGCCACAGCACTCCCACGTCTCGCCGGCTCCTGCACGGCACTGCAGCCCCGGCACTGCTCCCATTGCACGAAAGAATAAAGGCAGCTTGGAGAAACAAGCAAAGAGCCCTTCCTTCTTCCTTTGCCTCGATTCTTAGACATGGGTTCACATTTATCAGCCGCTCGTGGCAGTCTGGGATCCCAGTCACTGGCCGAACCACAATCCTGCCTGCCAGCGGCTGAGTTGGGATGTGGTCCCTCCTGGTGCACATGCCAAAAGCGAAGGGGGATCAGAGCGCATGGGCAACTGGTGCCACCGCTCCTTCTGCGATTTGGACGCCATGTCAGATGGGTTATCTTAGCATAAAAGGAAATTAGTTTTGACAAGCAGGACTTTCCTCTCATGGAGATGTGCTGGCTGTGACCAATGACTGTGTTGTCCTTCAGGTGTTTTTCACTACCTCCCAGAATAATCATCTCCTTAATTTTACCAGGCACTGGAGTTCGACTGACAGGCCTGTAGCTTCCAGGGTCATCCTTCTTGCCCTCTTTGAAAACTGGGACCTCTCCAGATTATCAAGACTGTTCAAAAATTATCAAGAGATGCCTCATGATGATATCAGCCAGCTCTTTGTGTATTCTCACATTAATGCCATCATACCCCATAGACCTACAGGGATCCATCTGCAGCAGCAGATTCCTCACACCTTCAGGGTTAACTCAGCGTTTATCATTCTCATAGTCACAGTCCTCAAGCTGAGGCTGCTGGGACCTCCTTAGTCGATCACCCGTGTTGAAGACAGGCAAAGAAAGCATTAAACATCTCTACCTTGTCCGTGGTGCTGTTTGTGAGGAGGCCATCCTCATCCTGTAATGGGCTGATGTCATTTGAGCACTGCCTTTTGCCATTAATGTATTTTTAAACCCTCTTTTTATTGTTCCCCACATTTCTGGTGGCTTCAGCTGCAGTGGAGCTTTGGTCAAACAAGTTCTCCCCCAACAGCAGTAAGCAGCATCTCCATATTCCTTCCACATCACCTGACCTTGACTCCACTGGGCATACCCCTTCCTTTTTTTCCTTATCTCCAAAAGAAGATTCCTGTTCAGCTAAAGTGGCCTTCTACCTCATCGGCTTGATTTCCAATTTTTAGGAATTAGCTGTTCCTGTGCCCTCAGGAGCTGGTGCTTAAAATGTGACCACAGCACTGATGGACCCCAGGACCTTCAAAAGCATTTTCCCAGCTGTGTTGGTTCTCAAATAAATTCTCAAATCTCAAAATCTCAAATTTTGAGAAAAAAACCCTCAAATTTTTTTTCTCAAAATCTCAAATTCAAGATCTCAAAAATCTCAAATTGATGAACCAAAACCACTACAACAGGGGACTTTATTTGGTTCCCTGAGCAGCCTGAAGTCACTTCTTCCCATGTCCATGGCTGAAGTTTTGTTGGCACTTCTCCTGTCACCAGAGATTTTAAACTCAATGGCTTCATAGTCACTGTGGCCAAGACAGCCACCAATCTCTACTCAAGAGGATCACAAGATCCTCTCTGTTGGCAAGCAACAAATCAAGGAGGGAGGGAATCTTTCCAAGCCAGCCCTCTTAGTACCCATAGCATGAAGCTGTCATCCAGGTGTTTCAGGAATACATAGGGAGTATATGAAAATTTTGTTAGAGAAACAGAAAATATTTTAAGGCCTGCTGTGGATCTGATGACCATCTCCCTACCTAAGTGTGTTCCCTGTGTGTCCAAGTCATTGTATTGTAATAATGCATTTGAAATTAACCTCTTATGGAATGAGAAGAGGAGACTAAAACATCCTGGAGTTCTGCCTGTGCCAAATCAAAGTTTCTGTCTGGAAGGTAAAGTGTAAGCAAAGTGTGGTTATTGCTGTTTTAGATATGCAGTGACTGAAAAATAAGAGAAATATGTATATCAATTTTAATAGAACCTTTTCCTAAATGCCATTATTTGCTGAAAAGTACAGCGCTATCATGCAGAAGGGAAGACTGATGTAATTTAGATGTAAGTTTAATGTGAGCAGGAGTATGTTTAACAGTTTCTCAGACAGTGTCACAGCACACTACTTATTAAACACTCCATTGCAGACCAAGAGACGGAGTCATCTATTTTTACTTGAAATTAGTTGTATAAAACAACATATTAACTTTGCTCTCTGGTCCTGTCCACCCCCCATCCATTCCTCCTCTCTCCACCACTCCTTGTTTCCCTTGATTTAAAGAATAAAGTTTCCTGCTCACTCCACTAATCTTCACTAGTGGTGCTGAGAAGTACTGGATATGCTGTTCCAATATGTGGAACAACTGAGCAGTACTGGATATGCTGTTCCAATATGTGGAACAACTGAGCAGTACTGGATATGCTGTTCAAATGTGGTGCCCGTGGCGCCAGACAACCATCTGTAGCTTGTACTCATCTATCTTCACTGTTTCATGTGTGACTTTCTTCAGACAGCAGGAAAATGACTGTGTAAAGGGCAAATTCAAACTCCAGGCTGCCACCAATAAAGGTGCTTCCGACTGGCTTGACTGAACCCTTCCAGCTGAACTGGATGGTCAAAACTTGGTCATCTTTATCAGGCTGAAAGCACAAACGAAACAACAGAATAATCTCCAACACAGCTGTGACTGGACAGATAGAATTTCTGATTCCAGATTTTTGAGAGCTTTGTAAGATTTAGTCATCCTTGGTGTCTTGGTGTGCTTGGGCTATAGCTGGGCACTATCTTTTCCCTGACCTCTGGAGCATACATGACCATTTATCCCAGCTAAGCCTCAGCAGTGTTGCAATTCTGTAAACACCAGCACTACTTTTTAAAATAGTTTTTGCAAAAAAAGAAACTGGAAGACATGTCATTATTCATTCTTCTTATATACAGTTATGTACTGTATATACTTATTGCGGTTCAAAACACTGAGCCTATAATTGCATTATTACACTTCTTTCATTGCAACTTTTATCTCTGGATCCATTTGTTTTACTTGCAAAGGCCTCCAAAGGCTTGTTCTTACCCTGGTTTTGTTCTTCCAAGATACGTATCCCTTTTCTGATTGCACTTTTCCTGAAGGTAAAATTGCACCCAGTTGTGCAAACCTAAGATCTCTTTACCATGCCTTGTTTCTCCAACAAAAACATGTTCAAAACCACAAGAATCAGGTCTGTAATGAAGAAGAAAAGAAAAAAAAAAAAAGAATATATAGGTATTTTATATGTTTCATAGAGCCATAGGATGGTTTGGAAGGGATGTTAAAGCCCATCTCATTCCAACCCCCTGCCATGGGCAGAGACACCTTCCACTATCCCAGGTTGCTCCAAGCTCCATCCAGCCTGACCTTGAACATGTCCAGGGATGGGGCAGCCACAGCTTCTCTGGGCAACCTGTGCCAGGGCCTCACCACCCTCACAGGGAAGAATTTCTTCCTCATATCCAATCTAAACCCACTCTCTGTCATTCTAAAGCTATTCTGAAGCTGTTTTCCAGCTCTACATGCAGCAGATGGCACTCAGGCTTTCATTTACCTAAGTCAGAATAGCACAGAGATTATCAGTGCCCACACTCATCAAACATACCTGTCTCCTCCTTTCCTGGCATAGAGCTGGAAGCAGATGTCATAAAGCTGATGGTTTGGCCTTGCTAGGTTTTTTTTCAGCAGATAATCATGAGCTAGCTGAAGGGTAGAAAACCAAGATACATATACAGTTTACTTTTTAAATCAGTGTTTTCAGTGACAAAAAAGATCTGTGTTACTCACTCTCATGACTTCCATTGCTAAGATAGCATCAAGGAAACAATTGTTTTCAACTATTTCTTCTGGAGCCACTACTTCTGCTACACCAGTTGATGTCATATAGTTGTCCAATAAGGAAATAAAGGCTGTAGAAAAAGAGAAATTTTCAGTCTGCTCATATGCCTGATCCAGACATTAGAGTGCCACCACAAAAAGCCACTATAGAGTATGCCTTGACAGCCCTTAGAGAAAGCCATGCCTTTATGTGTCAGATTCTACTCTCAGGTATACTGTTAGGTGTAGGCCTCAAGGTGACATAAGGCCAGATCACTGCTGTACTTTTTATAGTCCTTTTTAAAGATAAACAGCTACTGAGCTTCCTTATGGAGCCAAGTGCTGAAGTAATAATGACCTTCTACCAAAACAAATCACATTATAGACACAAGCTTAGGACCTTGAGCTATGCTGGCACAAGGTTTTGTGGGCATTATTTCAGTAGAGGAATAATAGAGCATAAACCTATATCGGATGTCTTGAGCTTGAGAAAAATTAGGAAAGGAAACATACATTCACAGACATGGCTGAAGTATAGCTCCCAACAGAAATGCAAAACCTAGCTGTGGGTCTGGTACTATCTGAAAGAGCTTGGAAGTTGTGAGTAAAGGAGAAAAGATGAAGTTGGTGTCTTTTTCAATGCATAGAATCTTAGAATGGTTTGGGTTGGAAGAGACCTTAAAATCACCCAGTTCAAACTCCCTGTCATGGTCAGGGACACCATCCACTATCCCAGGCTGCTCAGAGCCCCATCCAGTCTGGCCTTGGACACTGCCAGGGCTGGGGCAGCCACAGCTTCTCTGGACAAACTATTCACCATTATGTCCCAACTGCCCTCATAGGGAAGAATTTGTTTCTAAATTCTAATCTTAACCTTTTCTCTGTCAGTGTGAAGCCATTCCCTCTAGTCCTGCCACTCCAGGCCGGATTCCCACAATTCCCCTTCTCTGTTGACCCTAAAAGAAACGTTCAAAACTGTGTCATCTACTACTTGCGTTTCATAGCCTTATTATAACATTTTTGCTTACTATCTTCTTGAGGCTTATTCTTGCGGACACTAATCATTGCTATGTTATAGCACAGCAACTTAATGCTGTGAAGGCTTAGTCAGTGAAAAGATATGAATCACGTCTGACAATAGTTATGAGTCATTGTTCAAAAAACTCTTGCCGATTCCAGGGTCTTAACTCAAAACCTTCTTCTATTTTTATACCTTCATCCGTCATTTCCGTGAGATTTTGAACACTCTCTGTGCTTCTACTTCCTTCTTCTCTCTCCACAAAAACTCAAATTTCTAGATGCAAAATAATGGGGAGTAACATTAAACTTTGGAGGATCATCTTTTCGCCAAGCACTAGCTATGAAGGTAAAGCAAAAGTCCATTGTTAGAGAAACAAAGATTTCCAATTCTTGGGGTTCAGAAGCTGCCCTGGGAAGTTTTTTGGCCCAAACGTTCCAATTTAATGTGGGATTGTTTCCATTGTTAATTTCACCTGGCTTACCATTGGATTGTTTTTTGACCAAAGGCAACTCTTTTACTGGCACACTAACCAGACAGGTTGAGAAAGGTTTTTCTGGTTCCGAATTAGACAAACATATATTATCCGAGCCAGCTGCCTTGGCTAAGGTCAACTCAAACATTTGTTTTAGGTTGTTCCACAGGCAAATCTGCATGACAAAAAACAATTAAAACCCACCAATACCAACATACAATTTGCATTTGCTTCATCTTATTCATGAGCTAAGTTTTGGCTGAATCCTTACATAGATATCAATTTTTAAAATTTTGCTTTCAACAAAAACAAAAACCCAAACTTTTGCCAAAAGTCAGCTCTATGAAACAAACATTTGACATACAATTGACACACTTATAAATAACATTAACACAAAATCAGAGTTGCAGGTTCCACCCATGTACAAGGAACGTCAGGCGTGACCCGGGATCTCTGCTCGGCTCACGTCTGCGTACTTGCTTCCTCGGTTCTGGACTCGTCGACACGTTCCAGGGTGCGATATGGTTTGACATTTTTGGCTGGGACCACTTAATTCCAGCACCTGTAGAGAAAGAAGCATACCCTTTGCTCCAGGTTATTAATCGGAAAGGACCTTCAATTTGTCCAGACTCACGGTTCCTAATTATAAACGGGTGGGTTTTCTTTCCGTTTCACCTGTGTGTTATTTGAAAAATGCCTAAAAATCGGTGAATCAGGTTCTGCAAACGAACTGTTTAGGAAATTAAAAACATACAAAGCTTTGTTCAGCCTCATCTAAGGTGTGACCTCCGCTATTTTGTTTGTAATAGTTTGTGAGCTGGGTAGTGAATAGAATAAATATTTGAGAAGTTTAAGAAAGCAAATTGTAAATTATTAGAATTTTGTATTGTTTAATTAAGATAATTTTTTTAATGGTAAATAGATAATTGTAAATTTTTGTTTTGTTAAAGTTAATAATTTGGTTTTGGTTTTAATTATAATTTGTGTAATTATTTTTAAGATTGTGAAAATAGTTTTTGGAGATTTGTAGGGAAGAAAAATTTATTTTATTCTTAATAAAGGATTTGGTTTAGAAGGGTTTTATTGAAAAATGAGATTATAAATTTGTATTTTTTTTCTTAAAACTGTAAAAAAGAAAGGTTTTTTAGGAATGTAGCGATGAGTTTGTCTTTTTTGGAGAGTTTTTGTGATCTTGTTGAGAGTTGTATGAGTTTCAGGGGTTAAGGTTTTTGGAGAAGTGATGTCGTAGTTTTTTCTCAGCAAACTGAGAAGTGGATTTAGTTTATTGTTGGTGATTTTTAAAGTAGGTTTGATTTTATTGATTTTTCTCAAAAGTTGTAAGTTTTGTAGGTTGTTGACACTGGTTTGGATCTGTATCTTTTGCGGTGTTATTGTTGTTTTAGTTATCTTTTATTTCACATACTTCTAGGGTGGAACTTTTTGGATTTTTGTTGTAGACATTTTAAGTTTAGTTTTTTGGATTTCAGCGACAACACAAGCATGGGTTTGTTTTATTTCTTCTTGCGTTGAAGTTGTGATGAGTAAATTATCTATGTAGTGTAGAATCATGGATTTTGGAAACTTTTGTCGAGTAGGAGATAAAGCTTGGGTGACGAAATATTGACAAATTATAGGTGAGTTTTTAATCTTTTGCGGTAGTGATTTTTAGTGATATTTTTGTATGGGGTTTTTTCGATTGATGATGGGAACAGAAAAAGTAAATTTTGGAGTATCATCAGATGAAGTGGAATGTGGAAAAAACAGTCCTTTAAATCAATGATGACAAGAGGTTAGTGTTTTGGGATTATTGGTAAAGA